AAAAAGAAAAAAAGGGGGGGGCGGGGCCCCCAGAAAAAATTCCCAAGACAAAGGGGAGAAAAATTGGAAAGGGGGCCCTGGATTGGAAAATAGTAAAACTTCCCGGAGGACCCCAATTTGGGGGGAACCCTAAAAGGGGGGGGGAGAAATCATTTTTGGGGGGGGGGAAAAACAACCCCCCCGGTAAGGGGGGAAATTCCCCCCCGTTTTTTTAAAATTCCCAAACCCCCCCGGGGGAATTAAAAAAGGGTTAAAATTTTTTTTGGAAAGGAAAACCCCCAAAAAAAAAATTGTTTTTTCGGGGGGAGGTTTTTTCCCTTCCCAAAAAAAAAAAACAAAAAGGCCGAAACCCCCCAACAGGGAGGGGGCCCCTTTTTTTGGGGCTTCCCAAAATCCCCCAGGGCCTTTCGCCAAGGGTAAAAAAAAACCTGGTCCGGGGAAAACCCGGGGGTTTTTTTCCCCTTTTTTGAGGGGATTTAAAAGGTTTAACCCCTTCGGGAAGCCAGGATTTTGGAGAAAACCCCCCCCCCCCCCCCCCCCCACGTGTTCGGCCGTTCAGCCAGTAACGCCAGTGCCTCCTCGATCTTTTTGTGGGAATCGCAATGGTCATCCTCTACGCGTCTATTGCATACGTGTTCGGCCGTTCAGCCAGTAACGCCAGTGCCTCCTCGATCTTTTTGTGGGAATCGCAATGGTCATCCTCTACGCGTCTATTGCATACCCCAAAATATCTTGCTGAACCGACCAGTCTGTGAATTTACTTTTGCAATATTATCGGCACGGGGTTGTCTGCTGTGCTTCCAAGCATGCGGAGGTGGTCGGAAATAACTGATCTACAGAGTAGTTTCTAGAAGCAAAAGTAATTTTTTTTCATTTCCATGAGGGCACGCCTCCAGATTGATCATATCATCGACGTAGATGTCGCCGAAGAAAATGCCAGATACTCGTCAGCAAACGGCTTCAAACGGGAAACACCCTGCGGTGTGCCTATTACCGGCTCCCCAGGCGGGGACACTCTTACCTGCACGTTGCGTGCAATTTCGTCCGCCTCCGGCAACGCGTTCACGTTGAACTGGTTCGTATGTCTGTGAGAGTGTACAGTAGCTGACGCCACCGAGGACCACCACCCAGGAGAATTCCTCCATCCAAATGCCATCCTAGAAAATCAATCACCAGAAAGGCATCCACGACGTACGAGAAGACGGGTGCTTTTTCCGACTCAATATGTGTGTGTTGTGTGTTTTCGTCCTATTATTACGGCGACAGTCCCCCATTTTTCGTGGTGAGAGTGTACTACACGTGTTTCAGTGCATGTAGAGTACTACACTTTTCTTGGAATTTTTTCGTACAACTACAACCATCCCGGGTCAAACAGGAGGAGATAAACACCGGGGATTTTTTCTTCTTTTTCTTTATATTATCGTGCCCCACCTTCCTCCTGCGGTGCGCGCTGATTTTTTTTTTTCTCGAGAAGGGTCCAGCCGTCCCTTTCCTTCGTCAACGGTGCGAATGTCGAAGTGTGGTAATCAGCTTTTTCGCTTCAACGCGCAACGTTGTAATTTTTTCACTCCATGGGGGTTCAAACTCACGACTTTGCCAGTGGCGGTTTCGAGGTTTCCACCAGACCACCGGGGCGACCAGTTTGTACTCGACGAAAAGCATCCGCCACGTCCATCTTTGCGCAGCAAATAGGAACCCCGCCGCCTTTCGTTTTCCGTAAATCACACTCGTGTCTCATAATTCTCGGCAAGACCCCGCCGATTTCACTGACGGGTGCCGCTTCGAATATTTGGGCTATGGTGGAACCCATGAAAGGCCTGATACATCGCGCAACATCTCGTAGCAAAACTGTCACACCAAGGTTACGTGGGATGTCCGTTGGTGGTACGTACGGCCTTGTGTGTCGATGATGGGACTGCTGCGCGATGCAGCCTTATGTAGCTTCACTGTCTCGTTCGGTAACGTCTCAATGTGGTCACCCATCCTGCATCCACCTCAAGAGAAATCTGGATAGTTTATGCGGGGACTGCGAACATGACTTATCGCTGAAGCCACTACCCTCTGGCCTCGTGATCACTAGTGGCGCGGGCCATGATACTCATCCCATCTCGTGTGCGTTCTCGACGTTGCTCAGTAGGTGGAACAATGCCCAGCCAGCTGTGCCGGTTGCTTGACGTCCTCGACCCTGTTCCATCGAGGTACGTTGGCCTCGGGGGCAACCCATGGACTGAACCACCAGAGTCGGTCGTGGCCAAAGGTCCGAAGAGTATCCGAGGATATTTCGAAGACCTGTATGCGGAGCCCTGCCGGATCACGCGCAGCAGCGTCAAGGTTGTACTTGTCGGGCAGGAAGGCGCGGGAAAAACGAGGTCAGCAATGTGATGGTCCTGCTGTTACCCACTACTGCACTCGCACCAAGCATTGGTTGGTCGGCATCTTTGGATACAGCGCAGTTGACACAGTGTGGTATAGTATCAAGATCGATCAACCACAACATTTGTCGCTTTTCACCTCTGAATCGTTTGTTTTATGGAGAGCGGTAGCCACACATGGCATTTCACGTCTGAACCGTCCATTCGCGTCTCTGATTACTTTTTGTCTTGCACCTACACTGATGACACCACCTCGAGACCGACTCTCACAGCTAGGTGGATCGCTCCAAAGCCGAAAACCTGGCGAGAGATCGAAGGAAGTTCTGAACGAGATCTTCCAAACCTCTCGTTTCGGCACTGATGCTCTCTTAGTTGTGGAGTAATTTAGTTTTAAAAGTCGGTCTACGGTGGGAGAATGCGCGATCACTCGCGCCATCCATATATTAGTAGTTAACTTATGTAGATTTGCATTTTTTCCTTTTCGGCAAACGACACACAACGGTATACGCAGGTCGAAAAGCGCCTCAGCTGGGTACATACATTCAACAGCATGAAATTAACTCAGATATTGGTGAAGGCCCACTTTCGCCCCGTCGCATCCTGCAAAGGGTGGGGTAAATCCTGCCGTGGTTACTGTTCTCTAGAAGTGTACCCTGATTTCGGAAATGCACCTTGAGCTGACGGGAAATGATGATGATGCCCTTTGTAATGAACCATTTTCCTCCGCAGGAATCCTTTCCTAATCCTTTTCCCCTCCAACCATACAAGTATCTGTCCGGGAGAGACAAAAGAGACACACCGGGCATATACTACACCAAAAAGTCGTGTGTGTGTGTGTGTGTGTGTGTGTGTGTGCGTAGTACATGGATCCACTGAGCTATATCTGGCCACGCGGATGACTTGTTTGGATCGTCATACTCGTCAGCAGGACTACGTGTGCTGAAAAAATTACGGGTTATCTCTTTGTCGTTCTTGCCATGGAACATGAATTTTCTTGGCTTTCTTCTTTGGCGGCATTGTAAGGTGGAGGGACAACGTCTCGAACCAGCATGCCAAGGGATGTGCGATCGACGTAGCCGCTCTGTGCGGTGTGACACGCGTGGAAAATCAAAGGACGCAACCTCCGTTATGTTGTTCGCGTGCCCCGTTCCAGAAGGAAGTGAAGCACGTGCTGCACACAGCAGTATAATACTGCTGTTGTCCCGCTGGTCCGTTGTTTCACCCACCATTCATTGTTCGACACCCCACAGCAGTAATAGTAATAGTGTGTAAAGTTGTTGTCATGGTCATGTTCGCGCAGACGAAAGGTCCCATTATTGGAGTCGATCTGAGATGATCATCATGTTGGTCCAGACCAAGAAACTACTTCTGGTGGGTTCATGCTCTTCGGGCTCAGGGGTCGCAAAGTCCACATAGCAGCAGTAGAGAGATATGTATATGTATGTGTATGTTGTGTGCCAGACGCACGCAGCTGATTCAACGCCGTCGTTGTGTCACGTGTGTGTCACCCGCGCTGCTGGTGGCAGGCGCTGCGTGCCTCCTCCAGAAAGGGGCATGCATGCGTGCTGGCACACAGCAGTTTTGGTTTGGTTTGGTTAGGTTTGGTTAGATTGGGTTGGGTTGGGTTGGGGTTGGGTTGGGGTTGGGTTGGCATGCGTGCTGGCACGCACACAGCAGTTTTTGGTTTGGTTGGCTTGGGGTTGGCTTGGGGTTGGCTTGGCTTGCATGCTGGCTCACAGCAGTTTGGTTTGGTTAGGTTAGGTTTGGTTAGATTGGGTTGGGTTGGGGTTGGGGTTGGGGTTGATTCGCCGCCGTCGCTTCGTCGTTCGTCGCCGTTGGGTTGGGTTGGGTTGGGTTGGGTTGGGTTGGGTTGGTTTTGGTTGCCTTTGGTTTGGTTTGGCTAGGTTTGGTTATCATTTGATTTAAGAGCTGAGCAAGTGGGACAAGTTTCACTTGATTTAAGAGTTGAGAAAGTGTGACAAGTTTCACATGATTGATCTACCGATTCCGATCACATTTTTCACTTGATTAATCTATCGATTCCGATCAGTTTTTTCACTTAATAATCTATCGATTCCGATCACTTTTTTCACTTGATTAAAGTATGTAATTTTCGGGCAAGATTTCTCTATGGCTTTTTTGCGGGATTGTGCTGGCTAAAACCCCAATTTGCAATTGGGGAAGAAGTAGATGGTGGAAGGTGTTTCCTCAGAGTAATCGCTAGAAAAGCCTTTGGTGACCCAGGACATCATGGACAAGTTCGTCATGACATTGTCATACACATACAGAACAACCCAGCCACTATTTACACGGACATCTGAATCGGTTTCGGAAACGAACCAATACGCATTCAGGGTTCCAACTGTATCTACTATTCGCTTCAAGATTACCTGTCCGTATGGCTCAACCCTCGGCCTACGCTGGTCAAATTGAAATTGCCGCTGCGCCGCAATTGTACGGATTGCTAAATAGAGGTTGTCATCAATGGCACCCCTTTCTCCTTTCCCACCCTCCCGCCTCGTCCTCCTCAACCAAACACTTTGCACGTTCTTTTCCAACCACATTGTTTGGACTACTCTTTGTCTCCAGTTCACTCCTCCTACCAAACCTGCCCCACACCGTGCTACTCTGTTTGCCCCCCCCGCGCATCAACATGCTTTCGAGTGTAGACTGCCACAAACCAACCGCGGCGGTTCAACTTTGTTGCGCCCCAACGACCCTATTCCTAGATCTCCCCGTCATTCATGCTGCGTATTTGTTGGAAACTCGTCTCTTATTTGTGGCAGCTTGCGCCAAAGCATGAAGGCCAACAAAGCATCTCCTACGGGCAAGTGGAATGAGGAGAGCACTGTGTTTGCGAACGTGGAACCCATGGAGCTAGACGGCTCATCCGTCCGGGTGTACGACTGTGCTGGACAGGTGACAGGTGTTGTTCATACCGAAGCGTTTACGATGGGTGCTTGGCGGAGGTGTTGCGTGAGACCGTCGCCCAGGAGCATTCGCTCTCCGCCTTACATGCGTGGAGAAAGTATTGCCAACGAAACGAAATCCTGCACTCAATATCTCCGAATACCTTTGAGCTTGCCCTGCCATTGAGAGTTGTCTCACGCGGCACCGAATAAGTTCAAATACCTGGTACATCATATCATGCACTGCAAGACTTGCTTCACCGAAGGCCTGCGACATGTATCACCCGGGTTGGCAGCACGGGTGTAGAGTGCTTGGAGGTCGCGGGGCTGTAATGAAGTTTGTGCTCATCGAGGCATGTGCGCCGAATTCGTTCAAGGCGTTTGGCCTCAGTCGGGGGAAACGGCAAAACGACCGAGGCCGTTTGGGTGCGTTCCTTTGGCCGGCCCCGAAATAATTGCGTCCAAACTCTTAGCATTCGGAGCGCATCCTTGCGAGTCCCCTTAAGCCAATGAGAACCCAAGGCTCTTTTGTAGTGGGTGCCCTGGTGGAGAGAACCCACGGCTTCTGTTGTTCCGTGTCGTCTCGTTGGGGGTTGCGGCCACGAGATCGACAACCTTGATCTGGCGTGGCCACGGAATAGTTGATACGAATGTGTTGTTGCGCCAGGGGGTAAGATTCCAGCGCTTGTATGGTTTATACTGTGCGCTGCGTAGTTTATATATTTACTGGGTGTCAATCCCTCATTTTTTCATCACGTTGCTTACGCAAGGCAAGCTTGAAAATGCCACTTGATGGTGCAGGAATTGAACGTGTATTGTGAGTGGACCACACTTTGTAAGTACTTGCTTTACCGCGCCAAATGGAATCTTCCCCCCGGTCTAGATTTGGGCTAGGTGCATTCCGCGAGTATGAGAGGCCACGAGGTCGATGGTGTTTGATGTTTGAACCACATTACGCACGTTCAACAGGTCGCCTACACGGGGCTGCTGCAGATGTTCCTGACGCCACGGTCGGTTTGCGTGCTCGTGTGCAACGCGGGGGAGTTCGGACAGCGGCGAGGTAGCGAAGACTGTGGTGAGGTTGAGCAGGAAGACTGCCGCAAGCTGGAAGAATTGCGGGTTTGCGATTGGTTGCGATCGATATCTCGACGCGTCCCCGACAACGACGTCATCCTCGTCGCCACCAAGTGTGACCTGGTGGGCGGGAACGCAGGGGAAATTGGCAGTAGAATGGAGAATTCCTGTCGGACGTGGCTATCGGGCTGGGTTCGCAATGGTATGCAGCCCGTGCGGTTGGAGCCTCACGTTTGCCTCACGAGCTGCTTCCCAATAAGAGTTGGTGAGCACGGCGAGAGAAGCGCTGGGAACCATGTGTGGAAGGGGGGTTGGGCGTGCGACTGGCGAAACGTGGAAGACGATCAACCCTCGCCCAGTTTTCTTCACCGGCTCGTCAACAAGCCTGACGGAAGGGGTCTCCGCGGAGCTCAGATGGTGCTTCCTCGCAGCTGGGATGTTGCCCTCGCTGTTCTGGAAGCTCTCGAGCATGGACGGTGAGCTTGATCATGACTTCATGCTTGGGCTCTACAACGAGTTTGGATACATTGGTACGTCGACGCCGGGGGCAACCTGGACACGTAGCTTACCGCACTTCCTGGGATAGGGTTGAACCCCCATATGGAGGAGATTTGGCGAAAGTCCACCTCGAAGCACTGACGAAAAACCATCAATATTTTGGGGTTCGCGGCGCTCCTAAACAAGCTTTCGTTTGCTCACCACCGCGAAAACAATATGTGTAGCTCTTCATTGTTGGAGGCTCGTGCGCACCATAGCACCGCTACTTGGAGCTCATGGCACGACAAAATACTCAAAGTGTACCTAGACATTATTTGCCACTACAGTGTATTGAAACACGGAAGAACCTGAATACCATCTGGGTCCCTGTCTTTGGGTTCTGCACGAGAGGGTGTCGACAGCAAGCCTAGAGCCTGCGGGGTGTAACAGCCCAGTTGGTCGTCGTTGTTGGCTGTCGGTCTTGTTGTCGGCGGTGATGGCGGTGGTCGTGGTCGTGGTTGTTTCTTCGCGTCAGTATAGACCTCTACTCAGTACATGCTTTTCGGCGCTTGTCATGGCAACGAAACGTAGTCCCATGGCCCCAAGTCAAAGATAGCCGGAGAGACCCACCTATACGCTCGCCACTTACAGAAATGAAATGTTCCTAAATTGTCACGGCGAACAGTCGAGGGATACTTGAGGTTGATAGGGCTACTGAATCCCCCAAAGAGGAAGTAGAACCGATCGTTCCACCTCGGTCCCGTCTCGATAGCTAAGTCAACGAAGAACACTTTTGTGACTACCACGTGGAGCGGTGGGTACGTCGGGAATGCTATTCGCCTTCCCGCCCAAACCCCGTCCAATTCGCTTTCTGCGGTTGTGGAATCTATACATATGATTGTGTTGTTCGCGAGTCGCCTTCGTTCGAACTCTCGTTGCGTTGGTTTTTGGCTTAGTTGCACCAGTAGCCGATATTGTCAGTTGCTTGGATGCAGTCTTCGAACACTATCACGCGACAAGCACCGGCGACGGGATATATGAATAGCCCTTGACCCTGGTTTTGTTTGGACGTTGGTTGCCCAGAGATCCCGTGGAGGTGGTATTACGCAAGTCTCCCGAACCTGACAGAGGAGATGAGACGGAAACGGGGGGCAAAGCAGACGTGTATCAGGGGATCACGGTCGAGGAGCTCGGCACCAAATGGCAGGAAACAGTGGACGAGCTTGAGCGGAGAGGAATCACCGTCACAAACATGATGAATGCCTTGGAGGGAGCTCTCTCCATTAGGTACAACGTTGATCAAAGTGAAAGTCCGACATGGAGCCACCGGTTTCGTCACGTGTTGGGGCCTGCTGGCAATAGTAGGTACAATATCGCTATCCTCTGTGAACCTACTCGAATGATGAGCAACCAGGCTTTGTGTTGGGCTCATTGCGGAAAAGAGGCGGCGAGGCCGCTTCTGTGCACGGTTCCTCATGCTTTGTGAACTCACTCTTGGGCGGATTTCCCAACTCCGCCACTTGGCTTGACAACATCGTGCGTGCAGGGAGTTCGACGGATCACTCGTCCGCCACGAGAAATTTGTCTTTCTGGACGTCGTTTGGCTGTCGAGAATCCTCAAGCCCTTGCTCAATCACAAGGATCAACGGACCTTTGACGGCCGCGTGAAGCTTGGGGACACGGGCGACACGCGCATCACCCTCCACGACCAGTCAGACATCGATTCGTGGGACAGGCTCAAGAGCGAGGGCGTGCTTGAGCCCAGGTTGGCGAATGCCATGTGGCCGCATGGTCTGTCGGAGTATGTCCTCCCTACCCTTGTATCCGTTGGTCTCACTTTCCCGCTTGAAGGCGATCCTGATGCCGGCCTGGTAGTTCTGCTTAGGCTAGAGCCACACCGCCCCGAGAGTGTCGGCGAAGTGATCGACACATTCTGCTCAAAGCACACCCCGGCATTCAGCGCCAGTTGGGAGATTTTCCTCGGTGTACCGCCTGGTGCGATTGAAAAGGTGCTGACACGGTGCTGCGGTCTTGGTGACGTGCAAACCTTCTGGCGATATGGGGTTCTGGTGCATGGTGGTCTCGGCGACCTAGATGGGCGCGGGATATTCGCTGTGGTTGTGGAATACTCATCCACTGACAATGAGCTCACTGCTCAGATTTTCGGCGATATCAGCACTCCAGCTCCGTGGGTGGCGCTGTCATACGTCATGTCTGCCGTGAGCTTGATGCTGGTGGATTTTCCAGGACTGCGCTGGAAAGGCTGTTTGAAGTGTCCTCAGCATGGTAACGAGATGCCCTTCGCCAACAAGGTAAGCCTTTTCACGCACTCGTGTAGTCTAGGGGCCCATAGCTGCCACCAGCAAGGGGTACTCTTACGATCGTTTGGACGCGCGGTGTACGAAATTATCAATCTCATGTCGGACCTGGCGGTGATGGTTTTGTGCAACATCTTATCATCGATTGTCGGGCACGCTAATCGAAACACTCAATCTTGTGTCGGAGTTGGCCGTATTTGTTTCGTGCAATGTGCACTCGCATCAGGTTGGCGATGCTTCATCATGGGGTTCCTGTTGTACAGTGCCTTTTTGTGAGTTGTACTTCGGGAGATTTTTTTTTTCTTGTGTCGATATCCCATAGTTGTACAATGTAGGCGCTTTCGAGAACTGGGAGCACAGCAATGTGCAAAAATTCGGTCCCACCTCAAAATTTGAATAGGTGTTGGTTTCGTGCGGGGTCTATGCTGTCACGCCATAGCAATTTTCCGGTGGTTGCTGGAGCTTTACGCTTTGCCATGAGGTGTTTGGGGAAGCCGGGGTGCAGGAATGTGGGTTTCGGTTTTCTTGTTTATGATGGTTGTGTACTCGTGCATGCGGGAGATGCGACTTATAGTTTTCGCTGCTGCCATGCGTGGTGTCCTTTTCACTTGGCATTCAAGACTATAATTCACGACCCAATAGGGGTTTGCCGTAATATCCGGCTCTACGCGTATCTCCCAGTCTGCCCACTCCTGGTAACACTGATAAACAGGACAACCTCTTGCATGTCACCATTTTTTCAGGTGAATCGCGCTGGAGACAAGTTTCTGGAACGCAAATGCCCACGTTGCAGTCCTGAAACCAGGGGCCTCGGGGCCGCGGCTATCGATCTGGTCTGCTTGGTGGATATCCGACTGGACCGAGGTATGCTTGACAATGTGAAGGCACGGGTGGGCCATGTTTTTTTCAGCCTAACATGTTCATTGTCGTATCCCCTGTAAAACAAGTGCGAGTTGCGCGATCGCTCTGACCCCTGCGCAGGAATTACATTCAACCTCTAGGTTCTGCTAGTTCATGCACACCCCGCACGATAGCTTCGATGTGTTGTACTGAATTAGATCGTGCCCGCGATACTCGTGTGTAGTAGTTGTTTTTCATGCCCATGGTTCAACCTCCGGTATTGAATTGATCACCAAGGATCGGATCGGATCAGATCGGATGCACCACGGGTGTATTGCTGTACGATAGACTGCGCTTGCTACGTGACCAATAAGGCTAATGCACCCTCAAAACCAGACGCGTCAGAATTTCTTGTTGAAACCAGTGGCGTACAAGTGGTGGCAAGCAGGGTAGACTGCCAGTTTGGTTTTGGTAATGTGGAAGAACGAAGAACGACCGGCTCTATACGAAAATAATGGGTACGGCCACGTGTTCTTACGTTGTACTCCGATAATTGACCACGTTATTTCCACCGAACAGATGACAAGTCTTGTATAATTCTGCCACGCTGCAATTCGTGCAGCATTGCATGCATTCAGCGTTAGAGCCCCAATACCAAAAAGCGAGAGAATGTCATTGCAACAAAGCGTTGCAACGCAATATATCCCCCATGCTCCACTGGCGATGCCACAAACAAACCCGGTCGGGCCGCTACTGGAGTGTGTTGCAAGTCGTCGCAACTCTGTCCAACTCTTACCCCTGTGGGAAACCGAGTTCAAATTGCTTCGAAAATTTCGTTTTGCACAATCCTCTTCGATGACTCCGACCCGCGCATTCTCTCACATGTTTTCGGCAATGGTTAAAATTTCGACCTATTTCGGCGTCTTTTGATGGGCTTGGTTGACCCATGAGTCGTGCGTTTCAGCCAGCACTCCTACTGATAGTTTGTGTACGACGTTTGAATGATAACGAGGTGCTACAATAGGTCTGTTGCGTTGTCTATATCACCATTGCGGGGTCAATAGCGGGGGAGAAGGCGGTGCGGGGAGCAGCAGCAGAAGCAGTAGCCAAAAATGGAAGCTACCAGAAAATGGCACCGTTTCTGCCGCCGTTGGTGCTGGGGGTCGTCATTGAGGTTGGCTTTCGTGTACATGTCGCAAGAATCAGTGCGGAAAGTGCAGTCGTCGGTAACGGTGCGGTCAAATGCACTTGGTCAGACCCAACCCAGTCCGACTTCGACCGCTGTCGTCACCCCTCGCTGGCTACGCACGGGGCAACCGCATTGCGGGCATCACATGGTGCGTAGGCGAAGAAAATGTTAGGTAGGCACTGACTAATTTCTTCCGCTCATGTCGCACGACAGACGTGATTTTCCGGGAGGTGAAGGCCAGGTTTGTCGTCCTGGAGAGTCAGTACTTCTCTTGCCCGACGGTGAGAATAGATGGCGTGTCTTCCATTGGATTGCCACATGTATTCCTGAAATATCCGGTGGGACAAAAACAACCTTGGGTTCTTCCACGGACGAGCTGTGCCGATTTGTGGACCCTACCGGACGAACCAACTTACATCGATCTCTGGGCTGTTTCAGTAGCCTTACGAACGTTCGGTGCGTTCTGAAACGTAAGGTGATGTGTATCCCGTTGCTCGTGGCGTGCGGTGATCGATTGGGAAGTTTCCCCCACGCTTGCTCGGAATAGCCAAGCGACGTCAACTTCAACTTCAGACAGTCTAAAATGTTACCTTCCACCTGTACTCAGCCACAGTCACCCACCCAACCCATTACCCACTGACGACAGGGGCCATGGTGTGGCGTTTTTAGTTATGCGGGTTGGTGTCGTCGGTGGCTTGGTCTTGTGTAAGGCAGACAGAGAGCAGTACATAGCACAGGCAGTGATCGGAGGCACAATCCCGATATTGCCGGGTTCCCTCACTCCTATCTGTCCGCACAAGTGTAGGACACGATCACGTTCCGATGGTATGAGTCGAAACGGGCCATGTTGGAATGTATCCTAACACCCCCGGTCACAAAGGGTGTCCAGAAGCATATGTTGACATGGCTACTCTACAACAGTACATCCACCACCCTGTCATGCCCGACTCATCCGCACCGTTTGTGAAATATCGTGGTTCTTGTTTCAGGGCGAAGAGGTTCTACAATTGCTGTCATATTCTGAGTGTTGCTATCCTGCGCCTGTCTTTCCGTCATGTTTGTCACAGGGTAGCTCCAAGACCGAGGATGAGTTGTTGCGAAAGATCGAAGACATGGCCATCGCTATGAAGGTGATGACGGGAAGGCTGGACACGGTGCTAGAAAGCACCCAGGAAAGCCTGATGCGCCTGAAGAACTTACAGGCCCCGAACTACCTTTACCCCCGCCTTGTGGTTGTCAAGAAGGATGGAAATGGTGGCAGATCTTCGAGGGCCACAGGGTGGAAAAGGTGTCTCCCGAGCAAACTTCGTGGCATGGGAAAGAAGGACATGACCCTGCACTTCTTGTGCCCGGTCGACATGACTGAGGTGCCGTGCGGCCCTGGTGGTGAAGGCTATCGATTTCGGGAGATGCGTGACTGGGTGAAGAAAATATCACCTGTCCTTCAGGTAAGACAAGGGTTTTGGAAGAGGCCGGTTGGAGTAGGTGACACTGCTGTTTCCGGTGGCGTTCTATTCTACACTTCTCATCCCCCCCCCCCTCCGTATGAGTACACCCCCCCTCCCCGTGAAGAACTTGTTAAGTTGTAAGGCTCCGAATAACGGGGCTGGGTTGGTCGGGTATGCTTGAACCGTAGTAAAGATGAGCTGCGGTTGATTTCTTTGTCGCTCTAATTTTTTGTGTTCTCTTCCCAGGTGACCTTGGTGACCGCGAAGGTGGCGCTGAACGCGGTGACGGGATTGAACGTGGATGTCTCGGGTTTCCTGAAGGACGTGCAGGACGGGTTGTTGGGTGAGATCGTCGACCGCACTCTCGACGAGGACGCGCTACTTCGTGCTGTTTCGGGTGACGGCGCCATCGACACAGACTTGCAAAGGGATACGAGGGCCTCGTACGAAGCGCTGAAGGCTTTCATGGAAAACGAGGAACGCAGGAGGCGGAAGAACGCCAGGGATGGTGATGGCTACATAGACTTCAGGGACAAGATGAAGCTTTTACCAGACGGGAGAGGGGGGGAGGTGTGGATTCGGAACGAGAACGTTCAAAAGTGGCTAGACTCAAATTCGAGCCCTGCACCATCGCGCTAGCATTGTTCTCGTTCGTTTTGTGAACTCCTTAGGATGGGAGGGGACGGACCGGCGAACCGCGAAAGGGTTGTTGGAACCCGAAAGAGAGGAATCAGCGAAGTAGGGGAGGGGGCTGCAGAAGTCTCTCGCTCTGGTAGCTCTACGAGTGCGTGGGGTCAAAGACAACACGTGGGAAAACGGAAGCAAAGAAAGGGCCCTTCTCGTTGCTGCTGAAATGTACGTCGTAAACTCCTCCCGGTGGAGGTTACGTATGTCATCTGCGTCCACCGTGTTTTCGACTTTGTTCTTGTTTGCTCTTTCTGTGCAGTCGCACAGGCGAGGTGTGTGTTTGCTTTCGGGTTTCGGGATTTTACGATTTTTCCCTATTTAGTGGCCGGATTTGGGAGCCCTACGCGCACGAACTTGGTGTAGGGGGGCGATATCCTTGTCTCCCTGCGCCACCAAGCTACATGCCGGGGTACTTGGATGCGAAGCAGTATTCACAACTCAGGAGCCATCACCGCGTGCATTGCCCCATGTGGAAAGTCTACGGAGGGGAGGCAGATTAACAAGCCTTGAACTACTGTTGGGAACCAAGACGAGAGGACAGGGCGAAAGCCCCAACCTAATGTCTACAGTAATAAACAATAGGTTGGAAGACCGAAGCGTCAAATGTTTCCTCATGTTTTCATAGAGTGGGGAAGTGTATAACGAAAGAGGCCGCTTCGTCGTATTTTGCACCTATTTCCAAAGTACCTCCGTTCAATGAGATGTTGGTTTGTGGGGGAATGGTTTTCTGGTCGCCGGAAGTCCCGCGAGAGCATTGCGGCCGATACGGCGTGCGGAAGTGACGTGTGTTGGATCCGTTTCATTGAACGTGTGCGCAGATCATGGCGGGCACCGGCCTTGAACATGAGAGGATATTCACAACACATGCTCGGGGTTGCAAAATACGAAAGAAACGGGGACTTGTCAGGTTCCAGTACTGGTTTGGCAAGCCGTGCCAGGCGTTGTAGCCGTAAAGAGGGGTTTATGCTCTCAGCACCTTGTCAAATAGCTCTTCGTAATTTGTTTGCCACTCAGATTCCGAATTGGGAAATGGGCTCAATTTCCTATTTGACTACCAACCCAGGCAGTTCACTCCATTGGAAGCCAGAAGGCGAACGAGAGCAACGACGAACTAGTTCCAGTTGCACCGGCAACGCGCCGGAAGAGGTCGGCAACAACGAGCTTTTTCTGTACTCCCGCTCTGGGTAGCCACGAGCCCAGTCTCTGGGACTCCTGAATACAGTTGCAGGAATCGCTTTCCGATGCCGTCGCTTATACGAGGTAGGCGAATCCACTCCATTCCGGGTTCCCCAGAACACCCGGTATCACAGGTGCAGGGTCCCCGCCCGGAAAGTGACCGCCCCATAGAGACGTAAGATTAAACTTCGTTTGTGGATTGCTGAGTCTCGAAACCAATCCACAGAGAGGCAACAAGGCTGGCATGCACGAAGCCTGCGACAAGGACAAAATACTGTAAACACCTCGAAGACTTGTATGGAAGAGGTCACGAGTTCGATTCCCGACCAAAACACCTTTGTTTTTTCCAAAAAAGCACTTAATTTTATCGAAAAAATTCCGTTCGTTTCTGTTCTTCCAAGTGTCTCATTTTCGCCACCCTGACGTTTTGCTCCCGGTCAAAAACAACGACAAAGGACAACAATTCAAAACGGTGGTCTATCGATAACTTAAGTCAAGATTACAAAGCAAAAAAATAAACGGGAAAAACTATTTTTTTGGGCCGTACGGGAGAAGAAAACACAGAAAAAAACCCCTCCTGACAATTTTCGCTTGCGACCATTGCCAGAGTAAATTTTCTCAGGGGAGGGGATTATACAAGAATTTCCCCGAGTTTTTTGTCCCAGCGAAGCGCCTATTTATCCTGTCCGGGCATCATGCAAAAAAACAAACTCAAAAGGAACACCTAACGGAGTGAACTAGAAACCGACCTATACTCGGGACATCCTTATCGACCTTACATTCAATTCCTGGACAGAGGGAGCATGTTTTATTTACGGATTGAGACCACCACCACCGTTCGTTGTTGTTTCCTGAAAGGCGCAGTTTATTTAGCGTGGAAATGGAGTTTTGGACTGCTGTATACGACAACACTTCGTATTTTTGTGGCAACTTCGATTGGTTCAGCAGTATTCGATGATTCAGAACAACCGCCGTTCGTTGTAGTTTGTTTGCTGAAAGGCGTAGTTTAGGCGTGGAAACTGAGATATGCACCCTTGTTACATGCACAAGTTGACCCCCAAAACGGCTCCTTTCGGAAAGAAGATATAGAACTTGGTGTCCATAGTCCATGGTTTGGGCAGACGGTTCGATAGGCACAGGAAGTGGACGTGATGATGACGTCGCTACGCAAGAAGGGTAAACGAAGTACACAAAACCATATCATAGATGCTGTAAACCAGCGGTAAGCGTCCCTGTTACACACCCACTGAGATGCTGGAATACCCTGAGCTGGAGCTCGTGCCACTGTTGGTGGAGCTCTCGTAACCTGTCGATACGGTTGATCATGCAGCAAGTCAAAAGCGACAGAAGCGGGGGGAGGGGATTGGGAACATAATTAACACGAATGCCTCAACCAACACACCACCACCCAACAACTGCCACAACAGTTTGCGATTCTACAAGGGAAGCGAAGTAGAAGTGGAAGAGAGGCTGCGCCATTTTCGTCCTTGTCCTCACCGTCCATGACGTACACATTCATTGCCCAAACGCCACCGCAAATGGACTTTCTGTCTCCGGTGCAGCGGAGAAGGCACTCCTGGGACTCGCCGTGACGGGTGAAGTCTTCGTCCGAGGCACCACAGAAGCACCTGATATCGTGCATGAAAGCCGAAGGGGCCGAAACAGAGAAAACGTTTCAGAGGAGGGGACGGAAGGGACATGGGCGTGTTCGCCGCGGTAGCAAGGATTGCAATGAAGTATTCGATGTAGCCCCCATCGCTGTGCCTTACTGATGCTACATCAAACCCCAACAAAACTCGCCATCTACGAACTCTTCTATCCCATAAATGACAAGAGAAGGAAACCCTTTATGGCGTCGATGATAAACCAACCGTTTCCACTCTCTGCGAACTAAATGAAACAACAACTACAACCCGAAACGCTCCCACTCACTGCTTGCCGTACTGGAGTCCGTAGAATGCGTAACCTTCGCAGGCGGCCTTGCAGGTCTGCGAGATCGACGGACGGAGTGCAGGAAATGCGAGCTTTGTGAGACGGACAAACAGATACTTTTTTGAAAATGAGGAAAAGAAGCCAAAGACATGGCCGGCCAGCACCCCCCGAAAACGTAACTCGAAGACACGCGACGGAGGGCGGAACTGGAAAAGCGTGGAGACCACGCTTGTTATTCAACACCGAGACAACAGCATCAGCAACAACAACAACAACAACAACAACAACAACAACGGGAATTGTTGGAGCGATACAGCACCAAGATAACAAGTTCTCCTCGGCGAACACGGTTCGTTCCCGTATAGAGGAAAGCGATTCCACCCAGCTCCCCCCAATGGCAGAAACGTACCTCTGGACTGTTGTCGGCGCTAGAAGTCATCGGACCCGAAAATACCCTGTCGTTCCTATCCGTGTAGCAGCCAAGGTACCCCATAGTCTGATCAATGATGGTATGCGGCAGCATGGTAGGCGAGACCATTGTAGGCGGGGGACAGCGGAATTTTCGCGCTCACCATGGATGTGCGTGTGTGGGGCACACGGATAGACACTGCTACAATCAAACATTTATCTGGAGCACCGTGACTTTAACAAGACGGGTAGGACTCCTTCCCTGGGAAACGTCCATAGATGTTGGCGAAATTGTCATTGCTTTCCGAGAATACTGAAGATTAAATATTTGATACCCTTCCTCGGGCGGGTGTGGGTAGTTGGAAGCTGCACAGCTTTACGTAGTACTCAAAATGCCTGTCTTATCTGAGTAATTGTTCGCTGGCAACGATAAGAATGCCGACAGACTTCCAAAGTGTGATCCTGGAAGAAACTTATGGCAAGATGTGTTCGCCGGTGACCGGGCCGCCTTTCTAGGTGACACGCTGAGGCGCCATGCGTCTCTAAAAAGGCATGGTCGCCGTTCATGTAAATGGCGTGGGAAAGCGTGCCAGATTGAGAAAGCCCCCCAAAATTCTCTCGCGACGGGCATGTCTGAGGGAGGGTTTCAGGGAGAACGAGTAACAACGAAGATTCAAAAATACGATGCGGAGAATCTTTCGCAACCTGCCCTTTGAACTCGAAGTTCACCCTCGCTTCGAGCACAGGAGACCAGGCACTCGCATGCTTCTTCTTCCCGTCGCTGCCTAGGCAAGGCTTTTGCTTCGGCATGGCCCATAGCGACGGGGGGGGTCTTTCTAGCGAGCATGGCTAGACTCACCCTCAAGGGACCGATACCTTCTTGCTGCGGCGCACCCGCCGCGAGGTGTGCGTAGTGGTAGAGCTCGGTCGGCAATGGTGCGTCAGGTACAAAAGTGCGGATGCGCGGGCCTCATGGCCGTCGGTGTAGACAGCAATGTCCATCTTAGTTTTGTGCGCGGAGGCAGACGCCATCAGAGAGGTGGACGGGCACCATGTACACGGCCCTAGGTTTGCTAGAGGGAGCTGTACTGTCTCAGTTACCTGGCTTCGCCATCAAAGGGGAGGAGGGAACAGGTGGTGACGAGCTGAGTGGGCTGGTTGACCCTTCGGGGCGAGAATTTTCAGACCAAGAACCCTAAGTGCAACAAGGGAGAAAGCGAGAAACCGACTAGGAAGGACAGCAACGAGAGCGTGTACGGACGGAGCGGGTCGAGTTTGGTCGTGCTAGGACTGGCCGCAGCGACACCGGAGCAGCGGCGCCGGAGCAGCGGCACCGGAGCAGCGGCATCGGAGCAGCGGCACCGGAGCACACGGACGACATCGAACCGTGACGCACGGATGAACATTTTGTGTTGTCAAATATTTTCCGTTTTCTTTCCTGAACATCGGTGTTGGTGTGTGTGATGACGTCACTGGTTTTGTAGAGAGACGCTGCAGAGATGGCGTGGATACCCCGGGTGCCTTTATTGTGTACCTGTATCGTGGAAGACCCCTTCAATGTGGAACGATTCCTAGTCAGTGTCGATTAATTACACTGCTGTGTCCAACACAGACAGATGATCGGGGGTGAATTCGGTGATTGTCAATTGCAATGATGGCTTTGGTTGGTTGTTCTTTTTCACTGTATATCCACGGACGCATTCTGACAGCACTTCAGACAGCAGTTGCGCGCCCCGAACTTGTACCATGCCTACCATGGTGTTATTGTACAGGCAGCACTCCAGACAGCTGTACGCTGTAGTCGACAAACATTCGTTTTGGTAAAGTGTGAGACAGGTGGGACGATGCTTCTGTAGTCGAATGTAATGTGTGGACGGGTAGTTCAGTTTTTGGGCACGCAAACGTGCTGCAGGGATGTAGGTGTACCTCTTCGGGCTTGTGTACCCTTTTCTTTCGGGCTTGCGTATTCTTTAGATCTTCTGATGGCTCCAGCATTTTCGTGACCACGGACCGCGTCTTTGCTAGATTTTGGGATTGGCAACTGACACGAGTTTAATGTGAAGACAACAACAACAACAACAACAACAACAACAACAATGCTTCAAGCCAATCCTCGACTTGTGATCGCCGTGTCTGTCAACAGCGGTGCATATCTTTTACTCTTTACGACTGCGGGAGTTTAACTCTACAAACGAAATCATACCCTAACCCTTTGACCATTGAACCGTCTAATAGTGATATATTGCGTGCCGTGGGTTCGTATCCTAATATTAATAGTGATATAATGCGTGCCGTGGGTTCGTATCCTAGGTTGAACACTGGGTGATGGAGAGTCTCGACGTCTGAGACCGAAGACATTCTGAATTGAACACGGGTGACGAGTTGAAAGGTCATAGGGTGAATAGTCATTAGATGGACTTGCGCGTTGTTGCGAGGCGAGCGACCCTTCTCGGACTCCCCCCCCGCAAAGGAAAACGTGCACACACACACCTTGCTCGAAGATTGGGCCAGTGCCACGACAGCCGTGGGGAGGAGAAGGATAGCTGCACGTCTGAGCATCGTGCTTGTACCTGAAAGATCAACCCTGGGCGCGCACGTAGCACACACCCGAAGAGTCGGAAAGGGTAAAAAGAACAGCATGGGACACTGCAATTTGACGATTGTTTCTGCGGCAAAGGCGAATATGTACATAAAATTAAGGCCCCGTCCGCAAACTCTCACATGATCGCAGGCTACGTTTTGTGGTCGTCTTCTTAGTTACGCGCAAACCCTTGAAGCATCACAACAATAGAATAATTGCACGTGATGAAAAGCTGTGGGTATAAGAGAGTTGTTACAGCCGTACAGCCAGCAGTGGGAGGTCTTGTAGTCGTTGACTCAGGAGCTCAACCATCATATCTGTTCTGCATGCGTTGAGCGTCGTGCTCCTAACGTCTCATCTACAGTGTTCATACTTTTCATCGACATTCATATCCTGATCTCCACATCGGAACGGATTGCATCGTGTCACAAAGCAGAATAAACAGCAGTGGGTAGCGCAGCCCGCGGTGGCGCTGGGGCGCGGGGGGCGCCGCGAAAATAACCACTCTCTTACCAAAAAGTTACATGACATGAGCTAGGTAGGGGGTGTGAACTTGGCAGCAGCAGCCGCAGCAGTGGGACGTTTCTTGTTGGACACACTCCCCCAGCTTTTTCCCCTTGTTTCGTTTGTCTTGGGGTATCGCACGATCATGTTTCTTATTGGGACGTTTCTTATGTTGTGGTCAAGATTGAGTTGTGTTTCTTAGCCCCTTTTTCTTAATGTCCGTAACAATTCGAACCTTTTTTTCTTACCAGAATTTCTTAAACGCGGGCCCTATCTGTAGGCGTGCTTTTCTGGTAAACACAGACTGTAGAGTACTGCAAGCACGGGTTTGTGAAGAGTACAGCCTACAGAAGTCCAAGGTACAGTAGCAGAACACCACAATGTACAGCGGTAGTCTACCCTGTCCCCTCGAGAGCCGCAAATGTCCTTTAATGAGCCGCAGAGCGCGAAGCGCGACCGTTCTTTTCCCTGCGTCCCAGAAGGGAAAAAACAGGCTCTATCGACCAGGGCCCCAAGTTTCTACAAGCGACCGCCTGAATTTTCCCTCCTTCGACCAGCACGAGGTCTGCAGAGCAACGATTGATGATCTACTGGCTTGTGACGAAGAAGAAAAATAGGACGCTCTTCACCACACCGGTTTAGTCGCGCTCCGACAGCAGTTGGCCGTGCTTCACCGGCATTTGTATCCAAAACCCATAGGAGATACTCACCCCGCTCCCTGGGGAGTTGTAAAGGTAATGCAGGACCAAAAAATCGGAGATCTCCCACACACACATACGCAGTCATGCAGTTGGAACAGGGGAAGCACTCGGCTAAACACGCAACACCGCTGGTAGGGGCAAAAGACAGCACTGGCGGTGGGAGGGAGCCATACACACAGCTCGTGGCGGATGCCATTGCCAATGCTGCTGCTTCGGTGTGTGGGGAGGGGTCACCTGGAAACAAACCAGTGCCAAAAAGGATTTGTTTTAGCGAAGGTGGTTTTTCTCGCATGCATGCAAAGACTCTCACCACCTCAATTTCAGTGGGTCCTATGGCCCCGTGTCCTCTATCAGCCGCCACACAAGACGTTGCTACACACAGCTCGCGGGGAATAGCTGTACCATTGCTGCTGCGTCACTTTGTGCAGAGAAACCACCGAAAACCCAAATCCGTGGGGGAACGTATGTATGACGTGTCTACCGTAGGTGACATAAGCTACCACACCCCCTGTACCGATTTTGAAAGCTCGAGTATTCAACATCGAAGAGGATGCGTACACCCAGCGAGACGTTGTCGGAAGGCTCTCCATGAGACGGTTCTCGCATCACTGTTATCGGCACCGCCACTCTTTGTGATGTGGAGCAACCGATGTTGAAATTGGTCCAGGGTCCAGGGGGTGTGGGAATCTTGTGTAGCCTATTACGGTAATGCTGTATGCGCACGCCAACGGGTGGTCGCTCGAGGAGCCTTTTTTTGTTGATGACTCGGATTCAAACTCCGAAATGATCGACTTGCAACTGCCACCACACAAAAGCATCGCAGATACATAGACTACTGCAAGGTATTGAGTCGGCTACCCCTTGGCCCAACACCCCGCCCATCTAGTACCGGTCTTTGATATTCCCAAACATAGTCCCAGCATACATCCGAAATAACAGTCACCAGGCATCCGAAGCGCAGCATACCTTTCAGACGTAGCTTGATGTGTGGGGCGAAGTGCGAGGTTGATGTGCGGGTGGAGAAGTTCTAGGTTGAAGTGCCCACGGTGGACACTTCGTGGGCAGTTCATGGACTGCCCATTGGCTGCCCATTGGCTGCCCATTGGCTGCCCATGGGCAGCTCATGGGCAGCCCATAAAGTGTGCCCACGGGTACCCCATGGGCGGTTTAGCAAAACTGCCAGTGGTGGCACGTACACGCCAAGAGAGCCGTCCTGAGTATACACTGGATATGCCTAAAGTGGATAGATGCACATGCGAGCTGCGAGCTGCGAGCTGCGAGCTGCGAGCTGCGAGCTGC